GAACAAGTCGCAAGATGGATTTACCTTATGGTGTGAACAGATGTTACATGTTCTCAACACAGCCAACAATCTGGATGGTAAGAACCAGTTTGCATGGTACAAGTTTAGTTCTTTTAAACAATAATTGCCGATTGCAGCATTGACTTTGTTTTCTGGGAGTCGCTGTCATGCATAGACCTTGGAGACATATGCAGCCAAAAAAAAAATTAGAGGGAATGGTGATTATGAGCATTCTCATCGAAAAAAATTTCTCCTCATTTCAGTCATCGATTGTATTCTCGAAGAATTACCAATAGCTGTGCAAAATAAACGCCATTTTATGACAACTTAGCTTCTCATTCTTGAGCAGTTGAAGAATGTCAGTATTGTCAAAGTGGACAGTAATCAATTTTAGTTCAGTGCTCCAATCAGAAGTATTTTCTTAGGATCTGTCTTTACCTACTCCTGTCGGACTTAATAAGTAATTTTAAATTTGACTTTGTGCACTGCGCCATGTCTTGCCAGATCAGCAGCAACACTGTCTTGGTGCCTAAAAGCCACAGTAAAAGTGGTGAAAGTATACTTTGAAATTGGACAGCACTTGTTTAACAATCCCAATTTTACTAAGAATTATGCTAGCAGCATTGTGATTGAGTCATGCTTGCTAGAAAATACATGACCCTGTCGTTTGTAAAAGTACAGAACATATTTGAACCTTTTTCAACTATACAAAAACTTTGGGAACATTTTTTTCCTGGTGTATTCCATGTGGCAGTATCTTGTCAGTCTACTTTCTTTGAATTTAAGCAAAAGCTTGGGCTAAATGTTCCATGGTGGATTTTTGCATGGCACAGTCTCAATGGATCAGTGCCCATTTGTCAACCAATCAACACCCAGTTCTTCCCATGTAGTATACATGTGGATTCCTTTGAAATTTGAGTGCTATCTGAAACACGCAGACAGCATGACTTTTATTGTTTAGCTTGTTCTGTACTACCCAATCTAATTTAAGTTTATTTAATGCTATTTTCAAATCTAGATATTGTGCTAATATTTTCAAAATTTGAGTCTTGATGTCAAAATCCAGTGTGGTTACATGCCAGTATTTTTCAACATCAACTTTATTTTCGCATCTGCATTATTGAATAAACTTCCGGGGGATAGAGAAGAAATCAATGTTTAATGTAAAGGTAAAGAGCTGCCTCCTCTACCAATAAAAGACAAATGAAGACAGAATACAGGTCTGTTTAGGATTTTAAGATGGCATTGTTGATGTTTACAGTATTTGTACTAAAATGCATTTAATTTTTTTCCAAAGATAAACTTAATTTTGATGTTTACTCTTCTACAGTCCCTACATTTGTCTCGTTTTTGAAAGAAGTTGACTCTCCTTATGAAGTCCATGATTATGTCCGAGCTTACCTTGGTGACACGCCAGAAACAAAGGATTTTGCAAAGCAGTTTCTAGACCGACGTGCCAAACAGAAAGCTAGCCAACAACGCCAACAGCAACAGCAGCCAGTACGGCAGCAACAGGTTAGTCTACAAAATATTGCTTTTATATGGTATGGTTTAATATGTCTACATAGAAGTTGTTACTTTTCGGTGACAGTTAATCAGTTATCTAAATATTCAAGTTTTATCAACTGCTATATTCACAGACAGAGCATTAAGTTGTTAGTTGAATATAACATCAATGTGCAAAATAATTAAAGTGGGATTTTTTTTTAATGATGTGATTAAGTCTAAATTTAAAGCATCTGCTAGTTAACACACAACATATTCAAAGCAGAGATTAGAGAAACAAATTCTGGATTTAGACCCAGAGTAGAAACAAGAGTGGGAATATTTAACCTGAGAGCTGTCTTTGTTAAATAAAGCAAACAAGAATATTTACACTATGCTTCATAGGCTATGAAACAGCATTTGATCATGTTTGATACCAAAAGTTGATAAACATGTTGAAATGTTCCAATGATGGTAAAGGTGAGATATTTATCCAGGACCTATGATGGGACTAAATGGTAAGTATTGGACTAGAAGAAAGATTCAGACCTGTTTCACGTGAAGCGATATAAGGCTGTACTCTTGCCAAGGTTATTCGGTCTATGCAGGTGGTCCCTGGGTTATGAATGCTTTCCATTCTTGAGTATGCTCATAGATTGGTTTGTATGCAAATCAGAGCATAACACAGTACAATATGAAATAGCCTTTTGTAATTACGAGAAAACGTCGCATCTTTAAAATTACTATTAACATAGTTCATAGGAACGAGCATTCGTAAGTCAGACGTTTGTAAGTTGGACCTTGCCTGTATTCATAGAATTAGATGTTCTTTCAGGATAAAAATTGGAGGTGAGAACATAAATTGTAGTATGCTGATGTCACAGTGCCATTTAAAGAATCTGAGACCCCATCAAAACATCATCGGTCAGGTTAATCTAGAAGTTTAAAATACAGATTGTTTTTATCCTTCACATCTAATTGTAATTCCAGTGTATTAAGAGCAGAAAAAGTGAAGGTTAGATGATGGTGTCACACTGAAACATGCAGATACATTTGACAACAAAAATGGCAATTGGAATGCAGAAATTAGAAGAAGGATAACAGTAACCAGAAGTAATTTTACGAAGGTCAACAATGTGTTCACAAAATTCAAGCTTCTAACAAGGGGAAAAAACACATTATAAGGCACTACATTTTATACACTTTCCTGTATGCCTTTGAAACTTAGCACCAACGTGAAGATCTATGAGGGAGAATGAAAGCTTTTGAAATGTGGGTACTAAGATTTTATGCCAAAATTGCCATATCATAGCTTCACACAGTGTGGAAACAGGCCATTCGGCCCAGCAAGTCCACACCGTCCGAACAGAATCCCACCCAGACCCATTCCCCTTCCCTATCCCTTAACCCTGCATTTCTTGTCGCTAATGCACCTAATCTACACATCCCTGGACACTTTGGGCAATCTAGCGTGGCCAATCCACCTAAATTGCATGTCTTTGGACTGTGGGAGGAAACCCACACAGACATGGAGAGAATGTGCAAATCCACACAGGACAGTCGCCCAAGATTGGAATTGAACCCAGGTCCCTGGCATTGTGAGGCAGCAATGCTAACCACTGAGCCACCGTGCCACCGTATGCAGGCCATAGCAGGAGTTTTTGAAAATATAAGAGATAAAAACTCAAGAATCATCTAGAAAAGAAAATAGGTGTTTTAGCCACTTAATCAGAGCTGAAAAGGTAAAACGATCTTTTCTAAAGGCAAAATGGGGAGTACCACAAAAGGCTTATACTGAGGCCTCATTGGATGGCGGATGTCACAGGCTATTTGCTGATGAACTGCAGTGCATGAGAGAGGGTGGCAGCAGTAGCAGCAGCTAATCTTACCTGTTCTGAGCCCTGCCTTACTCCATCCAGTGATCTTAATGTACTTATGAGACATACAACTGCAGATGCCATCGACCACTCAAATTCAGTTGGCTCCGTTTGCCATTACCAGGCTTTGCCAACCTCCCTCAATACACGTCCACTAATTTTAGAATATTCTGGAAGCCATGGACAATTAAACTCTTCCCTCTTCAATTCTGCCTTCACTCATAGACTTGTTTGCCGAGGAAGAGATATTTGTTTAATTGCCCCTCATTTTTCTCTCTTTCTTTGCATATCATCTGAAATTCTCCTCAACTCATGTTTCATTTCTTCTGTCTTTTTCACAACTGGCATTTTCTAACCATACTATACTTCCTGAATACCATCAGCAATTTATTTATTTGATCTCACACTCCTTCAGTACCTCTCAGTTGTCCAATTTGGTGAAACTTCTGTCAACCTGTTGTAATCAGAGGCTCCAACAATGGTGTATTCCTATCACAACATTCATGAGTCTAGCCTTATTCAAGGAGCTCCATTGGCTTTCCTGTTGTTCATGATCACATTGTTCCTTGCTGACCCTGCTGCAAGCCAGATTTCTTCTAAATTATTTCAGTACTATTTGAGAAAAAAATTTTCCCCAATAAAATATTGGTAAGATTGAAGCTGTTGTTTTTGGACCTACTCCAAACTTTGGTGCCGAACTGCTCAGTTTATCCCTCTTCCAGGCAACAGTCTAGAATTAGGTTAGTCTGTTCTGAACTTGTCACATTTGACCCTTACTTATGCAATCGCTAAGACCATCTATTTGCACATCTGTCATGTTGCTCAAATTCACCCCGTGTCAGTTAAACTACTGCCAAAACCCTCATTCATGTCTTTGTTACTTCCAGCATACTTCTTGCTGGCCTCCAGTGTTTTATTCTCTGTTCACTTGAATTCATTCAAGACTCTGTCCGTGTCTTAATTTTCACTGTCCCGTTTCCCACCATCGCTTTGCTCACTCTTCTACATGGGCTTTGGTCAAGCAATGCCTTTCCACTTCATTAATGCCATGTGCTGTTAGCTATGCTTCAGCCCGTTTGCCAGTGAAGCTTTCATCTGGCCTTTGGATCCTACAATTATACTATTGTTTCATCCTCCTTAAACATCTGTACTACTTGTAATTCTTAATACCTGTATCATATTCTGCATACAACCCCTTTTACCAGCTCCTGTATCATTGCTAACCTAACTTGGCTCCCAATTGCCCCAGAATCATTGCTGATTGGGCACTTGAACTCGTGTTCAAATGAATTGCTGTTTCTTTGATTTGAAAGTAACTGCACTTCAAAAGTACTTCATTTGCCATAAAATGCTTTGGGATGTCCCATGTTGTGAAAGGTTCTGCATAAACAGAAGTTTGTTCTTTTGTTTTTTTTAGTTAGGATCAAGTTGAATTTCAAAATGAAGTTTTTGTTATAGCATCTTCTCAGGATGTTAATGCCTACAGTACAAAATAAGTGTTGGTTGTAAAATTAACATACCGCACTCGTTACAAATGTAATTTCACAATTTTATAGTTTTGTGGAAAGTGTCTTCTCTCCCCCTTACACAGCGGTCAGCATCATGTGATTTGTTTTGGCAATATTTTGATGTAAACAAAATATTATTCAGTACCATTAATCCTGTAACTTTCCACTTGATTTCCGTGGAAAGAGAAAAAGAATGAAAAAGCAAGTTGGTTTAAAAAAAAGTACAAAAATTCTTAAAAGGGACAAAATCTAAGATCAAAAGGGTTATTGCTAATGACCACCAAAACTGGCATTTATAATGTGTGAATTTTAAGCTTTGCTTTCATATTTAATATGCCAATTTTTTTATGCTTCAGGATTCAGCATGGGCTGAGAGTCATACAGGTCTGCAGCCCATCTATTCATCAAATCACAGCAGAAATCAACAGTCTAATTTTGAATCTGTGCAGTCTGGGAAAAAGAAGAAAAAACAGAAGATGATACGTGCTGATCCCAGCATTTTAGGTTAGTGTGCACTTTTCACAGTAACATTAGAATCTGAGTCCACAGATATTATTGTGGCTCATTGCCCATTTAGTTTGTAAAGTATTTGTTGATATCTAGATGTGAGCAGAGTACTGCACTAAATCTTGACTCTCAAACTGGTATTTCCTGATTCAGCTGGTTTGCTGAAGTTTGCTGCTTTGCACCATTTTAAGCAAGGAAAATGACAGTTGCAGCAGAGCTGTTTTTATTTAGTTCTGATCAGTCAGAAACGCATTTTCAATTGATCAACTAACTTCAGCCTGAATGCATTGGCATTTTAGGGTGATGAGATGTGAGGTTGATAACTGTGTTTAAATAATAAATGGGCCAGAAGCTCAACTAAGTGAACTGATTAACACTACTATTAATATAAGCACACACCTATTCTTGGTTATCTGGATGTCAGCTTCAGCCTTTACATGGTACTTTATATTTGCATGGAAAACTTACTAACATGCAGCACATACTGAAGTCACCCATGTTCCGAAATACTGATATAGACCAGATCATGAATAGATGCTGGAAAGGTAGAATTAGCGCTAGGGCCTAGAATCGGTTTTTCTGTATTTCAGGTGATCCTGTACCTTGACAGGGAGAGTTGTCATTTCTGACACCACAATTAAAACTCGTCAACTTTCTACTTACATTGTGTGGTTTAAGCAGAGTAGACATAATTACTTATTCATTAACCTATACTAAAGTATTGCTGAATAAGTGAACTGTGTCTTTATTGGGTGAGTGTAGTGTTCATACTGAGCAAACTAACTCCTTTAAAACTTATAGTAGCTTGGTTTGGGATCTCACATCTGCCAGACACTTGACTGATGCAAAACAGAGAAAATGTAATTGAGTGTACCACTTTTAAGACATGTGACCTGTTATCATTATTCAGTTTGTTTTCCAGCCTCTTCAGAAGTGATTAATGTATCAAATCTAAACTATAGAATTTAGCCCTTTTTCAGCAGGTTAGCCACATTCATTATTCCCACTTTTATTTCAGATGGCAAGCACAAAGTCTGTTCTCAACTTTTCTTACCATAAACATTTCCTGCTGGAGATAAATAAGTGGTTATAATATTCGATTTGGTAGCATTATGGAATTAACTATTAAATAGATCTTCCTCATGGTTTCTTTAAACACTTATCATTCTTGCATGCATTATATAAAGTCTGATGTATTTTGGTGGATACTTATTTGCAATTACTAGAAGAGAATACAGTGAATAAGTAGGTATACAGTTTAAACTAACTGCTTTGGATTGGTTATTGCAAAGATGCGCATTTATTAAGATACTTATGTATATATGAAAATGTATTTAATATCACATACTGAGACCCTTAAGAATGGATTCCAATGCTGACTTCAGAATAAACCTGCAGAATTAAAAGATATAAAACCAGTAAGGATAATGTCTTGTTTAAATTTGCATTATACTATACGTGGAAAATGTTTCTATCTTAGATTTTGACGATGTGCTTAGTGTCAGACTAAATATGTTAAGTACAATTTTTTAAAAACATGATATTGTTTTTCTCTACAAATGAAGAATTTAAATTAAACTTCTTCCTGGGAATTAACTGCTGCAGTTAATGCATAGTACAGGCTTCAAATATCCTGGAGTGATGATGGGTGTTGTCTTTATTAAAATTGCCTAAGAATAGCTTACTATAATTAGAGTTAGCATGGATATAGTCCAAATATCAACCTTAGATCCATAATGACAAGAGGTTTCTAAAAACAGTGACATGTCAGAAATATATATTCTAGGTTGATACTAATGTCAACAGAAATCATTTTTTTTCTTCTTTTTTCCCCACTCCCCCAGGTTTTTCTGTCAATGCTTCATCTGAGCGCCTGAACATGGGAGAAATTGAGACACTTGATGACTACTGAACATAAGAAAATGCTTGATTTATTTAAAAATGAGTTGTTAATCATGAATTCTGAATGCACCAACCAATATCAGTTAATTAAAAAAAAACACAAATCTATCAACTTGAGTTCCTGTCTGTCTTTGGTACTTCAACACTTGTTTCTCATGGCCCTTCCTTACATAGTACAATCATGTTTCAAGTACAGAGCAGTCTCTTCAAAAGCCTTTGCACCAATCTGCATGGTTTCAAGCATAGAATCACATTTTTCACAGTGTAATATTAATGGTGCAATTAAACATAGTGCATTTGTTCTATAGAAATGTGTTTCCTTATCACTATTATTGGATTTTATTCAGAATACATGATTAACTGGTCTATTCAGTGTTGGTCACATTAACATCCATTCTTTGAACATTACAGAACAATCATGTCAGTAATGTATTTATAAGCTAATTCTATAATACACATTGAAGTGCTTGCTTTAGTACTGAGGTGTATTAAAAGTGGTTTGGATATTATAAGGATATCCATTCTGTTTCTGTAAGAAGTAACACCTATTCTGTCTAGCCCATTTTAAAGAGATTTTAGACTATGTTTTTGGCCTTGTACAGTCTTTTGAAATTAATATATTTGCGATATTCAATACACTATAGCCGTCTTAAAATATGCAGTTAAAAACAATGAAAAAGTTGGTTGAAATATTTCCGGGAATCCAGAAATCACGGTATTCTTCGTTATACAGTTGCTGCATGAAGGCTGCAATGTGTAACTAGAGACATCTAAAAATTTCAGTTTACAATACTGTTCAACATGCATGTGCAGGCCAATGCCCAGGAAGGAGCTTCTTCTCTTCAAAGGGCTGTACCCACTTCTTGTTCAGGTTATATTTTAAAATTGTTGGAACTCAAATCTTTTACAGCATCTTGGTCGAATCAAAGTTTGTTTTGCAACATAAAGATGGCTATGGAAAAAAAAATGCTGCAGCTACTGTATGCCACCAGTTATAGTGCAACATTGAATTTGCAACTTATTTACTGTATTTAGGTGTACAGAAGATTCCCTTTGAAAGGGAACTTGGGTAATTGACCCTTTGGTGACTGAAGGACTCTTTTAGTTTCTGAGAAACATGTTTTGAATCACTTTTTTTTAAAATAAGATTCTGTAAAAACATAATGCTAAATATTAGACTGAGAAGAGTTATATACACAGAACATGTCTCTAGTGTACATTCGGAATTAAAATGCAGTGGATCCTGCTTACTGTCACTGCTTTCTTCATGTCACTTTTCTAAAGCCAATATTTTTAATGGTTTTCCAATTCTGTTCAAATTAATTTGAGTTTGTTTTTGTTTAAAAGACACTTGCAGCACTCCTCCTTTCCCCATTGCCCCACAGTGGCATAGATAAATTTGGCAGCTTAAGTGCTGGTGAGGAAGAGATGTGGACTACAGCACAAGGTTAGACCTCCTCTCTCTTCTCTGTCTTCTCCACCATGTCCCCACCCTTCCAAAAGACCCTCCAACCCACCACCATTCTGGCACTACAAGTTAGAGCTCACCACACGACACTTCCTGTGGTCCTTTTGCTTGCTTTATGCACCTGTACACTTTATGAATACTATCTTATCCCAGGCAGATGCAAATGTTTGCAGCTCATGGGGTGAAGGAAACATCATCCAAATCTCCGCAAATGCCCCCTTGGTCCTTAACTTGTGTTTTCTACATTTGTTAATGTCATCTTGATTGCAGTCATTTATTTAGCTTGTTAATAAAGTGACTGTAAGAGGAACTCTTGTGTTGAGATGATGTTTAGAATGTCCGACTGGAGTGAAGGGCATCAGTTGTTTCGCTATATTGGAGTGTGCACTAAATGTCTTCACATTGCATACTATTCCATGTCCTTAAATGCATGATTTATTTAAAATTTGAAATCTGAAAACATTGAAAAATATTCTGTACAATAAAATTTGTATGCAGGTTTTCAAACTAATCTCTTGTGATATCTACATTACTGGCAGCCATCTGAACACCGCGTAATAGCAGCTGCAGTGTCCAAGTTTTTATCTTGAAATTTTGTGCAGTATTGGATCAATACTACTGTGCTAGGCAAAGAATTTTATATGTTAATAGTTGTTAGATGCATCTTGATTTCCAAATCTTTTGAAGCTCATTTTCACTTGTAAATCCTCAATTTGAGGAGATTGTATTGCTACGGCATCATTCTTTTGGATTGAACTACATTCACTACAGAGAGATATTAAATACTATATATTGCACACAGTACAGAAAGCAAATGTAGAAATCCTGAAATAGCTTAAGTGCAAATAGATCATTCATCCAGGACTGAGAGGTGCACTTGGAAGAAAGGAGAGTCACTTTGGAAATTAGTTACTCTGAATTATCACTTCTTTAAAAACCTTCGTAATATACTTATAAAGAGAACTGATTATGCACTATTTCTAACAGAACTGTGCTCTGATTCTGAAGACTCTAGATCCTTTTTTAAAAATTTGGAATTCATCTTTCAGCAAGCGAAGGTCTTGAATGTGCACCAGCTTTTATTCCTAAAACTGTTATTGCTTAACCAAATACATTATTGAAAGATTGTTAATAGAACTGCTGCCAGGTTTTGCATGTTACTGTATCATCGCCTTCAGATGAAAGTAAATTTGATATCTTCTACTTAGCTGAATGTGTCAAACACCTTCCCTTTTTTTTGGTTGTGTAGAATTTGACATTGAATAGTAATGTTTAAAAACAAATACCAGTTCAGCACAGGTCATTACATTCACAAAAGGAATTTTCTATGTTCAATGCTTTGTTATATTTCAGCTTGAAAGGCACTGTGTGAATCCTGTTCTAATCCAAGCAAAAGTTTTCTTATTAACAAACAAATATAGCCAACATTTCACCTCCATAGCAGTGACTTTTACCAGACTAACCAGTTTCCTGTTGACTCTTATTTTTAAAAAATCAAAAGTGAATTGATTTTTAGAAGTTTGAATCCTTTTTTTTAAAAATCAGGATTTAACCATATTACAAATTGCAAACCTGTTTGAAAATAAACCCTCAAATGTTTGTGGTTTGCATTTTCAATTTGTAGTTTACCCATTAGGTATACATTATTGTGATTCCCTTGACCCAGTAATAGTGTTTGGGATTGAGTTTCTTATACAGCTGCTGTACAGTTGGAAGGAATGGTATGATAAAAGATCAGGCTTTCAAACAGTCTCACCATGTCAGAGAAAGCACTCTCTTTCCCAAGCCAAACTGTGTATAAAGAAGACTAGAGATTCCATGTCCTTGGGGTCTTTGTTCCATGAATTTACAATCGTAGATTGGTGTTTTCATTAAAATGTAAATAAGTTTAAAAAATACCCTTAAAGTCTTTTATAGGTATGTCACTGTTTAATTTGGCACCACATCATTTGATGTACCTTTTTTTTTAGTGGTGACGTTTTGTAAACAATTTTTTTCCCTATTTCCTTTGATTATCTTTCCTTTGATGATCTCCTGCATTTTACATTCCTAAAAAGGACTTAGGTAGGTGGAAGAATTGATCAATAAGTAGTCCCATTTCTGAGGTAGTTTGATGTAGACAAATTTTTTCTCAGTCCAGCAGAAGAATGATTCACCTAGGAACATAGAAGATAGGAGCAGGAGTGTTCCATTTGGTCATTCAAGCCTGCTTTGACATTAAAAGCAGCATGTTCCTGCTTTTCCACTGTATCCTGTAGAACCTTGAACCTAAGCTTGACTTCTCCTTAAATGATCCATGCAATACCTGGAAAACACTGGAATTGAAGTGATTTGTCATGCGTCTTAGGGAGCAACTAAATGAATTAAGTAGCCAGATTTTGTTACTTGAATTCTGTTTTCTGAAAGAAGACTTGGATTCTAATTTCTCGCAACTTCCCGAACCAAGGGGCAGAGTAGAAGCTCAGTTGGCTGGATGACTGAGTTGGGGGTACAGAGTGATGTCAACAGCATAGGTTCAATTTCCACACCAACTGAGGTTACCGTAAAGGACTGTCCTTGACCCCCAATTTCTCTACCACCACCACCACACACACATGCACACACACCTCACGTGGTGACCCTCCGGTTATACCGCCACCAGTCCTCTGTCTCTCTAATGAGTGTGTAACCTGGGACTATGCTGTTGTTGACCAAATTGACCATAAAGTCACCAGTTATTTATTCACATGTTCATTGTGAAATTCTAATACTTCATCAATCTCACCACTAATATATGATGAAGAATGCAATTCAAGGATAGTGCATTTTTACAAATTATAGGAGTTGTTTGTAATAAGATTAGGTTAATGTTGGGTAAGCATTGCAGGCCTGTTGAAACTGTTTTAACTGAGAAAGGGTAGTCTGGGTGGAATTGTATATCAAGATTATTGTAGTCTTCCCTCTGATTTTAAACAACTCTTATTTGCTTTCACTTTTTAATCAAGACGTCAGTCTTCTGTACTGGTGGTCTTTTAAAATGAACAGACTTAGACCTCAATGTTGTAGTCTCCCAGTTTTAAGTTATAAATAATGCTACGTTTGCTGTTTTTGCAGATGGAATTGTTTCTGTAGCTCTTTGAGTGTTGGAGTCGGTACACTTTTGAGTTTTGTAAGTCTCCAAAAATTTCCCTGTTGACTGACCACGGGTGGAGTGTCTGTATTGAATAGACATATTAAGACACAGCTATTTGTGGAGTTGACACCACCTATTTTTCATGGACTTACCCAAAAATTGGTATAAAATGAAGGCCTACTAGCCTGTTCTGAAGAAGGGTCATACTGGACTTGAAATTAACGCTGTTTCTATCTCCACAGATGCAGCCTGACGTGAGTTTCTCCAACGTTGTGTTTAATTCATTTTAGTTATGGATGCTTAGAAGTATCTTAAGGTTCTAGGTCTCCAAGTCTGCAGAAGTTGCAAATATCACTTGACGATTGGCAGCTGCTTTGTGCAGCATTTGTGATGTAATTTTTTGAGATCAGTTCCATAAAATTCTATATCATATATACCTTTAAAGTTATGAATATGACATGTCTTCAGTGGGCAAGAAAATTACAATGATGGGCCATTCAGCCAACCCAGTCCTTTTCAGTGTTTATACTCCACATCAACCACCTTCTATATTGTGTTAACTAAATCTATAATTGTAGCCATCTGTTCTCTTACTCAAATGTTTAACAAGCTTCTTAAATTGATCTATAATAATCACTTTAACACTGTTGAGATTCAGATTCTCACCACGGTTTGCATAAGAGTTGTACTTTTTACATATCATAATTGTTCAATCGAGGCCATAGCTACATTCAGCATAACCAATTCAATCATAGGAATCAAAAGAGTTCAATTTGTATTGCAGACGAATTTTTAAAGTAAATTTTTTAGCTGAATATTTCAGTCTTGTCTTTGCATTCAGTCTCCCAAAGTGTGGGTGAGGTAACTGAGGAAGGGTCACCTGACCCAAAGCGTTAACTCTGCTTTATCTGCACAGATAATGCCAGACCTGCTGAGCATTTTCAGCAATTTCTGGTTTTGCTGATTTACAGCATCCACAGTTCTTTCGGTTTTGAAAGTAAATGATTCACTGCAGTTACTGCTTTTTTTTTCATGTGTTGATAAAATTGCTCTGACATCAAACTTCTTTATGATAAATATTAGATACATAGTAAAAGCTCTTTGAGTTGTTGCCATATTAGTTTCCACAGCCTCCAACAGTTGCAAGTTGGATTGCATGGGGAAGTGATGGCCTAGTGGTATTATAGACCTAGGTAATGTCCTGGGGACCTGTGTTCGAATCTTCCCACAGCAAATGGTGGAATTTGAGTTCAGTAGAGATCTGGAATTAACAGTCCAATTAACGTGATGACTGTGAATCAATTACGGTTTGTTGGAAAAACCCAGCTGGTTCACCAGTGTCCCTTAGGGATGTAAACTGCCATCCTTACCTGGCCTGGATGATGTGACTCCAAACCCACAACAATTTGGTTTACTCTTAACTGCCCTCTGGGATGGCGTCATCGTGTGACTGTAAGGCCTGGCTAGCTCAGTCGGTAGAGCATGAGACTCTTAATCTCATTGCCATGGACTCAAGCCCCATGCTGGGCACCTTCATTCCAGAATTCACTTTCTAAGGTGAAGCCCAACTCTTTGTTCCTCTAGGGCATAAAAAAAAAACTATGCAGCCAAAAGCTCAGTGGCTGATCCATCTCAGCCTCCCCCTGGAATGTCCACTATCAGAGATGGCAGATTTCAACTACTTCAATATCAAGAAAGGCTTTATGGCAAAGTCATTGGGGCTTAGACAATATCCTGAATGTAGTACTGAAGACTTGACTCCAGAGTGAAGCATGCCTCCAACAAGGTTGTTCGAAATAGTTTTGACTTCCAGCCTCAAAACATGCCAATGGATAGCGCCTCAATAGTGTCTAACAACCAAACAGTTATTTAGATAATATCTGTGAACATGTTGATTAGAAACAATTATACATATCCAGAACAGGTAGCACGTTAACCCAATCCTCCTGACTCGAAGGGATGCTGTAACTGTGCCACAAGACCCCTAATAAGAATCTGAGAAATCCGATTATCTGTCGTACATTTGACTTAATCCCTGTTTTATTATTAATGTAAAGATACTTGGCATTGTTATTATTTCCCAAGTGTTTGTACCCTGTGCCCTGCTTCATTTTTCATTATCAGATTTAGCACTGCATTGTTCCCTGTTGAGCAACAAAGAATTGTTTTCTTATGTTATCTCTGACTGGGTTAAGTTCTATCGTTATAACTCGTGCCTGTCTTAGAATCATGAAGTCATTTATGACATAGAAGATCCTGTGGCTCATTTTCAATTGAGCTGCATTTATGGCCTGAGCCACCACTAGATGGAGCTCTGCATGCAGACTCTATTCCAGAGTGAGGAATATGGTATCAGTCTGTGTAATATATGCACAAGCCACTGATTCATTTTATTACATCCACTTTGATGTTTAGTTATATTTGTACAAAATTAAGTGCAGTTTTGTCACTTTACTCATGCCTATGACAAATTAAATTTAGAAGTTGCTGGGAAAGCTTAGCAGGTTTGGCGGCATCTGTGAAGAGAAATTAGAGTTAATGTTTTGGGTCTGATGATCCTTCCTCAGAACAGTCTGAGAAAGGGTCATCAGACCCAAAACGTTAACTCTGATTTCTCTTCACGGATGCTGCCAGACCTGCTGAGCTTTCCCAGCAACTTCTGTTTTTGTTTCTGGTTAACAACATCCGCAGTTGTTTTGGTTTTTATTACACATTAAATTTAGTTAAGTTGACAAGATTCCCTCAACCCTAATTACAGTCATTCTCTTACATTTTAACAGCTTGCAATAATTTGGTAACAAGTCGTTTTCGACATTGTATTAAAGCACAACTTAGGTCCTGCTTTAATCACAAAAATGCTTGTTTTAAATGTAAAATTCTGTTACATTTTACATTAATTTTTTGTTTCTTGTTGCAGCTGTGTTGTGGGATATTGAGATGGAATATAGTGGCCATTCTTAATAGTTGTGCCCTATCGCCTGTGTTGGCAACATACACAGCATTTAAATTGCATCTAAAACTTAAGTTCTACTATCTGATATACTGCAGTAGATTATTGATATTTTCTCATTTCCCTTATTATATATGAAGTCAACCTAAATTTGACCTATGGAGCAACATTACCAATTCTCCATGACTATGATTGCGTTCGTAATTCCTTAAATTGTTTAATTGGACTAATAAAATTGGGGTGATAAGTGAAATGTAACAGCTCCACACAAGTTGCAGGCAATAGCATCTCCAACAAAAGAGAATCTAACTGTCCTTTCTTGACATTTATTGGTATTTCCATTGCTGATTCTCACGATCAGCATCCTAAAGGTTCCGGTTGCCTAGAAACATTGCCAGAACAGCCATGTAAATACTATGGTGATAATAGCAGATCAAAGGCTAGGAATACTGCAGCAAGTAGCTTACCTCTTGATTTCCCAAAGCTTGTCCACCAATTGCAAGGTATAAGTCAGGAATGTGATGGAATACTCCCCACTTGGCTGGATGAGTGCCTCTCCAAGAACACTTGAGAAACTTGACAGTATCCAAAACAAAGCAGCCCATTTGATTACTCCTCATCCACTTGCTTCAACATTCACCAATGTTAAATGACTGCAGTGTACCATCTACAATAGAACATCCTCACGTGGAACTATATTGGCTTACCTTCACTGTTACTAGGTCAAAATCCTGGAACTTCTTGTAGGATTTGTCCCACCTACAAAACTACTTTTAAGTTCCTTTTTTTTGGAACAACATTGAGATTTCATCTCGCCCATCTTCTGACTGCATATTTATCAGTGTAATTGTTCACAAGCTAATTAGCAAAAGTTAGTACAGCAAACTGGAGGTGACCTTCTGATGTTTGTTAATGATTATTTGGGAAGCAGAGGTACTGAGTAAGAATAAAGATGACTTTCATTTTGTTGGGTTTCCACCTTCCTATCTTCACTGGAATTTTGACCTGGAACCTCAACTGTTCAATATAAATGCTGATGATGCAGACAAATGAATAGAGATTCCTAAATCCCCCAGGTTTGCAGGTGAGTTTCGTTACAAAATTGTGTAGATGGCAACAGGAAATTATGAAGAAAAGCTGGCAGGCTGGATGAATTACCAGGACTATACACACTTGAACTCATTTTGAGGAAGTGTGAAGCCATTTGCTGAGACACAAGCCTGACAGTTTTATACTGCTGAGAAGCCATTAGATGGGGAGGAGTAAAAATGTTTTAAGTGACGAAACAAAACATTAAAACTGGTATACAGGCATTTGAAATGAAATATGGCTCAGGATCCTGGTCTTTGTCTCAAAAATGTTGTAATTCAAAAGTGGGATGTTGTGTTTTTTTTTGGATACCAGACCAAAAAAAAAGTGACTACTTTGCAGATTCACCAGAATGATGCTAGGGCTTGGGTTAAATTGAGGATAAGTTACATTGTTGATTTATAGTCCGTGAGCTTAACTAATGATCCAATTCAGGTATTTAAAATGGTAAAGGGATTTTGTCGGGTAGATGCAGAAAACATATTTTCTCTGGTCGGTATTTCAGAGCAAGAGGGTATGATCCTAAAATTCGATGGAGACACTTAGGAGTGAAGTCAGAAGATATTTTTCAACAAGGTTAATGGAAATCTGAATCCTCCTCTCCAAAAGACTGTGGATGCTGGGTCAGTTGAAATGTTAAAGACAGAGTATTGGTAATGGTGTCAAAGATTATGAAGCATAAGTGGCCTGATGGTGTTAAGGTATAGACCAGCTTTCATTTTTTCAGTGGAGCGGCACAGTGGTTAGCACTGCTGCCTCACAGCGCCAGGGACCCAGGTTTGATTCCATCCTCGGGTGACTGTGTGGAGTTTGAACATTCTCCCTGTGTCTGCATGGGTTTCCACCGGGTGCTCCAGTTTCCTCTGACAGTCCAAAGATGTGCAGGTTAGGTGGATTGGCTGTGCTAAATTGCCCATAGTGTTCAGGGTTGTGTAGAAGTGGGTTACAGGGAAAGGGTAGCTGGATGGGATGTTCTGAGGGTTGGTGTGGACTTGTTGGGCCACAGGGCCTGTTTCCACACTGTAGGGATTCTATGATGATGATTCTATGAATGAGTGTCACTAGCTGGGCCAGCCTTTTATTGCTCATCCCCAAGCTGTACTTGAGAAGATGGTAGTGAATTGATCCACCCGAATAGTGGAACAGACACCAAGAACTAAATAACCTAATTCCCATCAAATGTCTGTGTCACCTATCTCATGGCATGTATTTTCAGCAACAAAATGTAAGTCCTTAAGGTTCTCCTATTGTTAAACCTTTTGTAATCAGGCTTCTATGTTAAAGACTGTTCCGCCTCCCTATGATTGTCTCTCAGTACTTCTCAGATGGATTACAATCATAAGCTGTACCCAACCAAGTCATCCTAAAAGTCTTCCTTTTGCTCCTGTATATTCTTTACCCACAGCAGGAAGGCAGCATATTATTCTTGGTGATTGATTCCCAGCCATGCCTAGTTGTGTTTCCTAGAGTTCACATTTGCTCCCTATAGCTGGTCTAAATGCTGCCTATCAATGATCTTTGTTTTGCTTTGAAAAACCAGTGACCGAGAAGAGCCTAAGAAGCTTTTACCCTGAAAACGGCTCATTCTCATCCTTCTTCTGTCCTCCTCTGCTTTCATTTACTTACCTATACAGACCCATTTTACCGTTCGTTGTATAACACTTCTAGATTGTATAGTTTTCTCAGTTTATATAGTAACCACTGGAATATTTGAGATAACAAGGTGTAGAGCTGGATGAACACAGCAGGCCAAGCAGCATCAGAGGAGCAGGAAGGCTGACGTTTCGGGCCTAGACCCTTCTTCGGAAATGGGGGAGGGGAAGGGTGTTCTGAAATAGGGAGAGAAGGGGAGGCGGATAGAAGATGGATAGAGGAGAAGATAGGTGGAGAGGAGAGAGACAGGTCAAAGCGGTGGGGATGGAGCCTGTAAAGGTGAGGAGTTACAGTCACCTTTACTGGCTCCATCCCTGCCTCTTTGACCTGTCTGTCTCCTCTCCACCTATCTTCTCTATCCCTCTTCTATCCACCTCCCCCCCACTCTCCCTATTTATTTCAGAACCCCCTTCCCCTCCTGAATTTCTGAAGAAAGGTCTAGGCCTGAAACATCAGCCTTCCTGCTCCTCTGATGCTGCTTGGCCTGCTGTGTTCATCCAGCTCTAGACCTTGTTATCTCAGATTCTCCAGCATCTGCAGTTCCTACTATCACTGGACTATTCATCAAGTTTTAAGAATTCAATGCTGAACATAGGAGCTCAATAGTTAAAATTTAAAAAAAAAAAATCGTCTTTTTTTTTTCTAAAAGTTCTGAGACACTCGGTTTGGTATCTGTAGCATTAAATAAAAATCAATTGTTTTTCAGGTGATGAGGAAATACAATCTGCTATTGGATTGTTGAAGCTTTATTCTCTCTCTAGAAGAATGGGAGGGTCTCTCAGTGAGATTCTTTTTAAAAAAAAAAAAAGTTCTTGGTGATAGATGCAGAAAGGATGTT